TAGGAATGGCAGTCAGGGCTCTTCCGTGGCCCCAGAAGAGTAGGGAACTTGGGTGTGACAGGTCAGTGAAATCTGGAAGATAGTGAGTGTGAAGGTGGGGCACATAGTGATTGATGGGCTCGTAAACGGGACCCTCCATTCGCTTCATGCACCAGTATGTCTGGCATATGGCACCAGATGGATCTTACTCCAAGAGAGCTGATAATATTCCTCTCAAGCTCAACAATATCCGGTGGCTCCCAGTGGATCACCAAATAAACCCCCAATACACTTGCTTGAACTTCAAGGCCTTCCATTTTTGACCTCAGGCTATCTTTCAAGCTCATCTCTTGCCATCCACTCCATACACCCTATACCACTCAGCATCCACATCCATTCACTCAGTCAGCATTGACTTAAGGCACTGGGGAGGTAATGAATGAGACGGACAAGGTCCTTGTCTGCTCAGAGCTTACATTCAAATGGAGAGAGAGGTAATAAACAAGAAAGCCAATGTATAAACATTTTAAATAGTTACAAGTGCTAGATTATATAAATAAGCAAGGTGGTATGATAGAACACTTGGGGCAAGAAAGACACTACTAAGAGTAGTCAGTTACATGTGAGCTGAGGCCTTATAATGGAGAGTCAACCTTGCAAAAATCTGGACGAAGAACATTTCAGGTTGAAGAATGGCATGTACAAAGGTCCTGAGACAGGAAAATGCTCAGTATATGACAAGAAAATAAACAAGGGAGAGTGGCTGGGGAAGAGAGAAGGAAGTTGTACTGGGTTGGTTTGGAGAGAAAGTGGGCAAGTGGTTGGTCATTTAGGGCCCTGTAGGCCATGGTACACTTGGACTTTAGTGGAGATGGAAAACTATGGGAGGGGAAAGACATGTTTTGGTTTCCATTTTTAAACAATCACACTGAGTGGGCTGTTTGTGAGGTACAAAACTGGAAGCAGGAAGACCACTTAGTGGTCTAAGAGAGAGGATAGTGGTCTAGACTAGGTAGTAAAAATGGAAATGGGAGAAATTATCTGATTCAAGAGGTATTTTGAGCAGTTTTTATTCATGTGTTTTCTCCCCAACCAACCGAGAAACTTCTTGAGAGTAGATTCCATGCCTGAATGATCTTTGAATTTTCATCCTACAACCCTAAGCAGTTAGACTCTTCAGTGTTCACTGTTGAGTGAATAGATCCGTATGACCTACCACAGTGAATGTGACAGGAGGTAATGGCAGTAGGATAGAAACTTGGGCCTGTAGCAGAAGTTCTGGAACTTCTAATAGACCTATTCTAATAGGCTTCTTCTTCTTCTTCCATCTTTGTCACTTCGTATTTCCTAAAAGAATCTAAAATTTTGGTAGGGAAGGAAAAACTAGTGTTATGGTGTTCCTCTTTGTTAGCAACTGGATTCAATGCTTTCACATATATTACTTTTTTTGACTTAATCTATTTAATCTTTATAGCATCTAATCCTATCTCTTCATTTTGGAAATAAGCAGATTAAAAACTCAAAAAGGAAAAGGGACTTTATGAAGTTGAGTAGAAAGGCAAAGTTGTCATGGCAGAAAATACTCACTATTTTGACTCCCACATGAGCCCCTCCTCCCACTTAATATTGTAATACTGTTTATTCACACTCATTATGCTAAGGTCTTTTTCAGTCTTTTGGTAATTGTTAATATTATACAATGCAAATAAATCTCAGGACAAAACCACGGGTTCTGAAAGATTCAAGGTTTCATGAAATCAGTGCAAGTGATGCTGGAGACCATCTAGTCATATAAAGCCTTTGGTAAACAGGAATTTGGCAGAGATAGACCAGTTACCACTGGCAGAAGAGAAAACTGACCTAAGTAATGATAGGATCAAAGCTTCAAAGAGAATTATTTAACTCTCAAAGGATTACAAGAGGTCCTTGGGATAACTGAAGAAGCTCTCTAATTTTGGAAAAACAAAATGAAAACTCTGCTTATGACTGTGCTGCAAAAGTCAATATTATGCTCTCATGCACTTTGGTCAAGACAATTACATTACTACCCAATGCTTTGTTCCTTGTAAGAATTAGTGAATATTTGAAATTATTTACACATTTTAAATTGAAACTAAATTTTTCATAATTTTAATTTTATTTTTCAAGATAAAGTCCCAGTTGAACCCTTTCCCCCCTTTCTCTGACTATACTGTGAAATATTGGTTCCCATTTCAAGTGGATTCATTATAAGTGGCCTTTTTCTAGCACCACTTATCTTCAAATATCAAGGACTTCATGTAGTCCCAGCTTTCTCTTCACCCAGTGATTGTCAAGCCTGACTGCACATTAGACTCACCATGGAGTTTGTTAGACAATACTAGAACCAGAACCCCTATCCTACACTAATGAAATTAGACTCTCTGCTGATGGGGCCTGAGCTAAAGCTCTCCAGGTAATTCTTTTTTTTTTTTTTTTGAGAAGTTTTTGCTATAGGGTGTGTGCGCTCACCAGAAAGACAGAGAGAGACAGAGAGACAGACAGAAAGTGAGAAATCCCCCCCGGGGTGGGGGGGGGATGGCCATGCCACAATCCTTCTACTCCATTCTCCTCTCGGGATCTTGGGCATGCATGCACATGTGCCCGGCATGAGTTTAAGCCACCGGGTCTAGGACTCAAACTGCAGTCGACTACATGAGAGTCCAGCAACATAGCCATTACTCTAACTGCTGGTCCCTCCAAGTAATTCTAATGCACTGCCAAACTTGCAAGCTACTGCTGTCCTTCTTCCTCACCCATGCTGGCACTTGAAGAGACTAAGGCTATCTGGACTGACCTAAAGGGAGAGCACCAGGGTCTGGGCCTGGCTAGCAGAGGGGAAGTCACAGAGGCAGCCACAGCGCAATGCCAACCCAGAAGTCAAAAGGTGACATATAGTTTGTACAGATATTTCCTTGGCATAGCCAAGAAGCATTGTGCTCTTTACTCCTTTAGTACTGTGGGTGTGTAGTCTCCTCTGCTTTTGTGGGTAGTTCGTTAGGGTGTGGACTCTAATCCCTCACCTCTCTTTTCTATATCCAAGGCCAAGAGAGCCTGACTCCCTTCATATGGGCATACAGTGAGATAAAAATGCTGCTATAGTGAACATATTATGATCATGTCATCTGTGGATCTATAATGCATTTGTTTCTTGCTCAATTGCCAGCATTCAGCACAGTGCTTGACATGTAGTAATTTCTCAATAGGTATATTTTGAATGAATGAATGAATGAATGAATGAATGAGTTGAACACAGGCAGGATGTAACAAATACCATGATTAAAGTACAAAGTGTTATGGAAGTATAGAGGAGGGAGAAACTGTTCCAGTTTGGGAGAGGGAGGAATGTGGAAGTCTTTATAGCAGAGGTAGCATTTGAGTTAAACTTTGAAAACTTTTAATGACAGGCAGAGATGGAAAGTGGGCATTCTGGGCAGAAGAAAAAATGTGAGAAAAGGGTGGCAAATGAGAAGGTGCAGAGTTTGTTCAGTGAACAACTGGTAGGGAAACAGGGTTGGAACATGAGTGCATGAGCACCTCTGGTAGAAGATCAGATTGGTAGGATAGATCCAGAAAATGAAGAACCTTGAATGTCATGCTCAGAGTTTACACTTGGTTCTTTAGGCAATGTGGAGCCATCTGAGGTTTCTTATGTCTTTTCTGTTTTTATATGTTTGAAGAATATAATCTGTTTACTTTAGGAATATTAGCAGTGTCCTTTAGGAAACTCAACCACAGCAGCAATTTTTTTTTCCCCACAAAATGTCTATTTAGTGCCTCTGAAGTGCCTGGCACTATGCTCAGTGGAGGACTCATTGGAACTGGAGGAATTTAATAATAGATTAGTTGGTAGATTATTGTAGTATTAGACCAGGAAAAAGCTACTGAGAGCCTGAAGTAGTTTAGTAGGAGTCAGGGTGGAAAGGAGAGGAAGAATTTCACACATGCTACAGAGGGAGAATGATGGAAGTTGGTGACCATTTCAGGTGAGGGTAATTGAAAGAAAAGAAAGATTGAGTGGCTAAAGGTAATAATTATTGGCATTTGAGTGATTCCTTTGTGGCCGCTGTTTTTCCAAGTGCTTCATGTTTATCATCTAGTTCTCACAATAACTCTTTCAATGTTGACACCAAGGCTCACAGAGGTAAAGAAACTTGTCCAAAGTCATATAGGTAGGAGATGGTGGTGGCTAGACTTTGAACTCATGGCATCTGGCTCCAGAGACAATGCCCTGATCTCCATGCTCTGCTGCTTCGAAGGGAGTTGGGAGCCTTGTGTTTTCTTGACAAAGCAACTTCACAGATCAATCAGGACACTGGACTCCCTCCTAACTATGCTCTCCTTTCCCTCATTGATGTGAAAGATGTGGTGGGGAGGGCCCTCTCTGCTCTCCCTCTAGCAGTTCTTTCTGAGTGCCCTCCATTCTTCTGGTGAACAGATGAGTCTGCTGAAGTGGTCTAGGAGAGTTGAGTCTGGGAGACTAGAATTGAAGGCTGCAGGAAAGGCAGAGAATGGGTAATCAATCCCCAGGTATACAGCTGTGTTTGGACCACATGGAAGTAGACTGGTGGGTTGGTTTTTTTACTTCAACCAACATCACAATCTTGAGTCTCAACTTCCCTTGAAGAATGAGGAGACCTGGTGATACTGGGCTCCCATTCCTGCAAGACAGCCCAGGGCTCGAACTTCCCTGCAGTTCTCACCACTCACTTTGAGTCTGCACCTCTTCCCATACCAGCCCACCTCACTTCTTATAATTATCAGTGTGGTCCCTGCAGATGGTTGGCTTTGTGATTCCTTATCTAGAATGGCCTACTTCAGAGTTAACCTTTTTTTTGTTTCTGAGATTTGAGCCAACAGGGGGCCAGGTACAGGGTCATCATCCTCTGGTCCCACCCACTTTCCAAGCCATAGACTGTCTCCTGGGGCAGTAAGCTTAACTCTGCAGAACAAAGCCATGAAGGGAGGGTTATCAAGTCTTACCATTTATTTCTTTATGGGGTTAAACAAGAACAGAGAGGCCTCTGCTCCACAATGCAACAAAACAGAAAGCAGTACACATACAGAGACTCTCACTGAAACACAGAGGCAGGGATGAGAGGGAAGGCAAAGACAACTGAATCATAGCTGGGAGGAATAGAGGAAGGGATAGGAGACTACTAGGAAACCAGCTTGGAGACTCAGTCATAGGAACTAGTGCAAGAAAGTCCTACTTATGAAGCACAGTGTAGAAAATGGCATAAGAAAGCTGCCCAGCTCTGCTGCCTGTGATGGAGGGCAGGGGCAGCCGGAGAGGTGGTGGAAGATAGGGGCTGGGGTGGTGTAGATGAGGGCAGTCAAATGACTTTGAGGTGGAGTGTGGTGCCCCTTTCCCCTGCCACTGGGCAAGGCCTTGAGCTGGTCTGAGCCAGGGGTTTCCTGGGCACTTGGTGAGGGGGTAGAGGGGATGAGAGTCTCCAAGGGTCCCTTCTCTGGGGCCATATGGTTCCTCTACTTCTCAGTCCCTTTTCCAATCCTGAAAATGCAGGAGTTAGGAGGCAGTACCTAGGGTTTCTCTGGAGCCCAAGCACCTGCCCCTTCACTTATACGTAAGCGTGTCTGGAAAGGAGCCAGCACCTCTTCCCCTCCCCAGCTGAAAAGAACACTCTAGGGATGGGGTATGTGACCAGGCCCAAAGTGCTGAGGGCCAAACAGGGAAGTCTGTGGGAAGGGCACAGGGGAAGGAGTAGAGGGACAGGTTGTGAGAAGAGAGAAAACTGGCAGGAACTCCCTGGTCTCATAAAGTTGATTTGAAACCCCGTTGAGGCCTATGAACGATTTCCTCTCTATTAAGGGGGCCTCTAATTCATCCTTAAGCTGACCAAGTCCAGCTCTCTCCTCCTCAACCCCTTCTTAGTTTCACTCAAATGCAGCTCCAGGCCTGCCCCTCACGTTCACTCATTGGCATCACATCCTAGAAGGACACAGGTTCTTCTGGCACTTACTTGGGCCTGTCACAGAAACACAATTCTGGTTCCCTTTCTTGTTGGGTCTGAATAACTTTTAGATGTCCCAGGCAATGCGCCCCCCACCACCAGTCAGACCAGCATGATGCTAAGGACCTCCAAGTGTCTCTCAGTGCCTCTTCTTTCATCTAGCCCTCTAGCATGGCTAAACAGTTCAAGTCTCTTAGCCAGGAGATGACAGCACATTATCTTTAGTTAAAGGGTCCTCCTGCCAATCTATGGACTTTCTCCAGAAAAGAGCAGGGATTACTGAAACAGGGAACCCACTACAGGGTGAGGAGGAGTCTGGTCATTCCATAGTTGGATAGTAGCCCAGGGTCACAGACTGAAAAGGATGAATACTCTTTGGTAGGCTGGGGACAGGGTGGGGATGTGGAAGGCTCATCTCTGGAAAGCTCTGGAGCCATGCCACCAGGTTCTCCTTCATGGAGGCCTGGGCTAAGATGAGATGGAGGAGCATGAGGACCCAGGCCAGGCGTGACCCACTTGGGTTCAAGTACCTCCTCCCATGGAGATCAGAAATGGAAATATCTTTGGCCCCAAGGCCAAGATCTCCAGGACAAGAGTGGCCCTTGGGAGTATGTGCACCTTCTGTAAGATATGGCCCTTCAGACAAAGGCAGCCTAACCATGTGCCCTCAGCCTTCTATTTCAAGGCCCAATAACTCAATTCCTGTGCTTTTCCCAAAAGACTCCTTATGCAACTCTCTTTGACTTGGGGAGAAGTTCTTGAACCTGCTTCAATACTACCTATTCACTTCCCCAAAGCCAGGTGGCAGAAGCCCATGAGGCCATCTCTCCAAGCCCTCTGTCCACATCGCTCCTCTTTTCTTCTCCTTCCCTATCTTCACTCTCACCACTCATTCTGTACCTCATTTCTACCCTCATTGCCCAGGGTTGTGGGGCAAAGCTTAACTGGGGACTCATCTAGCTGCAGCTGTGTGAATCTCATCTCTTAACTGGGGCCCCATCTAGCTGTAACCCTGGAGCTGCACTTGTGATAGTCCCATGTGGGACAAGGTGTGCTGAAGTGGCAAGAGGGCCATTGCACTGTCTGCCATTGCCTGTAGGGATATGGGCAGGAGGGAATTAAGGATCCTGGCAACAAAAGGAATGTGGAGGGGGGGAAGAGCTTCTCCCCTCTGTGTCCCCCAACATTTCCTACAGGGCCGAGGCTGGATGAGCAGCCTCCTTCCCTGGGGTCAGGGTTCTTAGTTGGGGGTGGGCATTTCCAGCCCCCACTCCTCCCTTGATTTTGTTATGCCCCATATATGGGGGCTTGGGAGGGGGCACCTGCTGCTCCTGCCTTTTTTTCCCAGATGAGTCCTGCAGCTCCCTGGGGCCCTCTGGCCATTCTTTTGGAGCTGCTTTTGGGGTGGGGGTAGGCTAGAGGGATATATGGTCCCCCATTTCCCTCCTTCCCCACCTGGTCCTACACCTCCCATGGGAGGAGCCCCCTCTCCCCCACCTAGGGGGTGGAGCTGATGTTGGTGTATGGCGGAGGTCTGTCCTCCCTCACTGCTGTCACTCTTCCTGTGTCAGGCCCTCCTCTAGGGCAGGCAGTGTCTCCAGCCCTAGTACACCACCACCTTGGTTGCTGGAGAAGGACACCATGGTATGGAGGAGCATGAGAACAAGGACACAGAACCGGATTCTGCTGGGGCTGAGGCAGGAGCCCCCAGAGACCGGCAGCAGAGAGGGTTTGTGGTTGACATGTCCTGGGGGGTCATGGCGGGGGTGGTAGTGGTGGTACTGTTGGTGGTAGTGGTGGAAATAGGAGTGATGGAATTGCTGGTGGTGGGTTTTGGGGGCCTCAGACTCCTTGAACTTCTTCTTCTCCGACTCACAGGAGACCCACTGCACGTCACAGCACTTGGTTTCCAGCCGCTTTGGTGAAGTGTCCAGCAAGCCTGCCAATGGATAAGGAAGGGGTGGGG